GGGGGAGAGAGAGAGGGAGGGAGGGGGAGAGAGAGAGGGGGGGAGAGGGAGAGAGAGAGGGAGGGAGAGGGAGAGAGAGAGGGAGGGAGAGGGAGAGAGAGAGAGGGGGAGAGGGAGAGAGAGGGGGAGAGGGAGAGAGAGGGAGAGGGAGGGAGAGAGGGAGAGGATCAAATGCAGTAGTAGCACCTGAATGCCTCTATTAGAGTAGGAGCTTTAGGTGGAAGGAGTCTGACCACCCAACCTTAGATGCACACGCCTGCCTCTCCCATGTAATGGCCACTCACACTTGCTTTTCCATATTCACAGCACCAAGTGACAATACAGAAACAGAATTTTAAGTGTCCTTTTCTTTTATTTATAAAACTCGAATCTGATGTCAGTCAACAGAACCAGGGACAAGCCCCCTAAAGTATAATGCTAAGCAGTGGAGTCTCTTAATGAAGGGGACCAAGATCAGACACAGTTGACACAGGTAGGCAGTCAGCCACCTCTCCTTATACCTTCTGCTCACAGTGACTACTCACTCTCTCCTCACACTTGCTTCTTGTGCCTTCTCACACTTACCACTTGGGCCCCTCTCCTCACACCTTCCCAGAGTGAGTGCTCAGCCCCTGCACCTCATACCTGCTCCCCTGCTCATCAGGGCCTGCTTACCCTCCTCCTCACACTACTACAGCAGCCCAGTGGATCTCTTCACATGCACTATACTAAAATCAAAACAGGGTCAGTGATTCTTCTCTAAATAATCTGTAATTTTTCAGAGTGTATAAAATGTGTAAAGTGAATACATGCCATTAACGTTCTGCTAACGACCACTCAACACACTGCATTCTGACCGCCATACCTCACAGTTTAGACAGGTGAGCACATGATGCTTATCACAGACAGAAGTCTTCACAACTGGAGCTGCACTAGGGCAACAGAGTTTCAAGAACCGGAAGTGCTGACAGCCAAGGTTTCCCCTTGTTCATGGTAGAGCCCATCACCCACCAACAGAGGGGCAGCTCAGGGACCCAAGTGACACACAGAGTAAAGCCCATCCTTTTCCATAACACATGACCCACAAGAACCAACACTAGGACACAGCCCAAGACACCCCCTGGGAGCATGGGTGGCCTTGGTAGATGATCCCACTTTGTGCCCAGTGACAACAGAACCAGCCTTCAGCATTACAGATGCTCTTCCACAGACGTACAAAACACTATAACATGGATACAAAGTAGTCCATCCATTCTCCTCCGAGACAGACCCAACTGCCTATTCTCTTCACTGAAAACAAGGTGGCTGTACCCACCCTGCAAGAATAAGACTACTGCCCATCGACCCAGTAAATTTACAGGATGCAGAAAAGAGATTGGACACACTGCCAAGTAAAACCATTATTGCAAATGCCAAAATAAACCACAACACTTTTACTTCATGAGACAACCCTGAACTGCTGCTGTTACCAACATACTTTGTGTTCCAGGAAGGAAAACCCTCACCCCACATCTCAGCACCAGGGTACATTGCACTAAATGAGGACAACCTGAAAAACAAACGCCTCTGATCCATACATAAATTAGCATTTCCCAGCCACCAGATTATATGGTATCTGGTTTACCCCAATGAGTACCATTCACATAGCTGGCCTGTCTTGAATCCCTTCCTAAATCACTTTCTTTAATTGATCTTTTTAAAGGGCCTTTCTACCACAAATGAAATACATGTTTCAATATTTAATCTATTACTCTTATCTATGTATTATATTTTGTCTATGAACTTTTTATATAATATATTCTTCTATATATAGGCAACATGTTTCATTTTTGTCTTATGGGACTACTATTAATTATCCTAGCTGTTATAATGACAAAAGCTACAAAACCAAGCTACTTTAGCAGTTAGAAACACTCCCAGTCTCATTATGATAGGGTATGAGATCTGCCTCAGAAATCTGGAGGTACCAGGGAGCAGATAAAATATCAACAGCAACTTTAACCTGTGCAGCTAGCTGTGCAACAGGGATCATCACACCACTTGTCTTTACCTTTATGCAGATTTGAAATTTCCAAAGCAAGTAACAATTTAAAGAAATAATGTCTTCAAAACTTCCTTGAAGTTTTTCTGGTTGTATTTTTCAAACTCAAGTTTTTAGGGAATCACAAGGCAGTTTTGAACGTGTGAGGCAGGGATATAATTCTATTGTTTCCCATGACCAAGAGTAGCAATACCATCCATCCAAACAAAGGCCCTTTCTCACCGAGACTGAAAACACCTTGACATGAATCCAATCCCACATTCTACAATCATCCTGCTTCCTAGAAAACATCATTCACTTCTTAATAGTTTTATAGAATGTTTAAAGTGCTGGGAGAAATCCAAGTCCTCACTATTTTTGAAAATACTTTTCTTGGAAGTCTGTCCTACATATGAATTTTAAGCATATTTTATTAACTTAGAAAAGGAAACAAAAAAGGACATAAAAAGATGCTCAAAAGGCTGGAAAGAAGGCTCAGCTGTCACAGATGCTTACTGATCTTCTTAAGGACCTGAATTCAGCTTTTAGCACTCATAGAAGGAAGCTTGCAACCTCCTATAACTTGTTTTTCAGGCCTCTGAGAGCTCCTGCACTCACATGCACATAACACACAACATATAACTTTTTTTCAGCTTTTTCGAGATAGGGTTCCTCTGTGTAATAGCCCTAGCTGTCCTGGAACTAGCTTTGTAGACCAGGCTGGCCTCAAACTCATGGAGATCAGCCTGCCTCTGCCTCCTGAGTGCTGGGATTAAAAGTGTGTGCCACCACACCTGACTAATAATTAAAAAAAAAAATGTTTGACATCACCAGACAAACAGTGATAGCAGCCAGGCACTGTGCATGGCACACACCTGTAATCCCAGCACTCAGGAGGCAGAAGCAGGAACATCACTGCAAGTCTGAGGCCAGCAGGCGCTACACAGTGAGATCCAGGCTAGTCAGAGCTACACATGAGACGCAGTGAAACAGTCAATAATCCTGTGGTCTACTCAGCAACATGGTGCCCTGCCCATATCTTGGCCCTGAGAGCATGCCATTATGAAAGAGGATACTACACAAAGATGCACAAGTTCTGCTACTAATTTTTTAACTTACCATAAATCAGTAGGTATTTCAAAGTAAGAAATTTGCTGTTATTGTTTTGGTTTGCTGTTTTGATTTTTTATATAATAGACTGGAGCGAATAAGGATCTTAGAAAAGCCACATCCCAGAGTTTACATTCCCACCTTGGCCAGAGCTCACCCATAACTCTCAGACCTACAGGGACAGCCATTTCATGGGAGCTCCGATGCAAGGAAAGACATCTCTGCTGGCAGCATCTCCAGGAGCAACATTAGTTGAGAAGAAGCCCTCCAGATGGTCAGGTTAGCTGTTCTGTTAGGACTCCCCAGTAAACTGGCCTCAGGCTTCAAACACTTCACCTAAATGTATTCTGTGTTTCAAAAAGAACCACTAAAGACAAACTCGCTTCCTAATCATAGTAAATTCCTCCTGGCACATGAGCCCTACCGGCCTCACCTGGGGCCCTCGGGACAGCTATAGTAAGACTCTTAAAGCTTCATCTCGTTCAGTTTCTCTAGAGCCACCTCCTAGTATGAGTTCTATCTCCCTGACTCTAAAATGGCTCTTACTTCTGAGATCTATGTGGGCCAGGATGTATGTGCCTAGTATCTGTCCCCAGGACCCACAGACTTTGGGTCCTCAACATATCCACTCAATGTACAAATGAGTCCTCCACCTGCCACTAGCCTCAGTCCTGTCTGCTTTATACTGTGGACTCTCTGCCTTCCTCGAGAAACTTCCTTACAAGGGAGTTCCATGGTGTGCCACCTCTAGCACACAGTTCTTGGGCTCAACTCTGGTTTTCCTTGGCATTGGCCACTCCCTTGTACAGGCAGCCTGGGACATACACTGAGCAACTTGTTGGGATGCCTGTGCCTCTACATAGGTGCTGTCACCTCTGTTTTGCTCTGAAATGTCAAGTGCCAGCCAGATCTTGGTGGCAAGGAAACAGGCATAACAACACTGCGAGGGCACTACTTTTAAAAATGATCGTAGGAGCCTTAAGCTCTTTAGCTTGCGACTGGTGCCACCTCTTTATCCCAATGTGGGGTACTTTAAGACCACCTGTGCCTAAAGCCATCCCACCCCTGTCCACCACAAGGAAAATGCCAGGACTCACAGTACACCTGCCTGTAGAAACATGGGCTCTGAATGTAGACCTTAAGATCCAGCCTCCAGATGACCATAGCAGGCTGTGAGGGACATGAGGCACAGTATAGAGGACATCTACCCAAGTGAAGTCAGAGCCCACTTGAGACTGCTGCCCAGGCTTGCAGAGCAGTTCAAGGGTGACACTGACAGTTCTGACTGGTCTCAATTTGGGCCACAGCAGCACACCAAAATATGCCCCCTTCTCCAAACCAGGATATCAGCTGCCAATGTGGCCAGTACTAGCTAGGATATCTGGAGATATCCCCAGATAAGCCAGCAACAACCTGAGTTTTCTATTACATTCAACTAACTAGGAATATTCACCTGATTATGCTGTGAAATCCTTGATGACATTAACATACAATCTGATTAACCATTCCTTACTTGGCAGTACTTAGTATAAAGAAGAAATTTGTAGCCAACATATCCCTAGAACCACCCATAGCTACCATTCCTGTGGCATGTCAAACGAATCAGAGCTCCTGAGCTGGGAAAAGAAGTAACTAGACACACTAGACCATGTGCAGGGTTCATATCCTCCTGGGACAACAGCAAGCCAGGGGTGGTAGCAGGATCTCCAACAGAGAGGAACTGCTACCGCTTGTTACTGGGAGGTCTGGCCTGAGCTCAGGATACTCTTCCGCATACTGGAATGAAGAACAGCAGCTTCTCACCCCAGACCTACCTGCTTGTCTCATAAGTTCTCCTCCCAGACCCCTAAAAAACAAAAGGAACAGTTAGTGTTAAAATCCTTTACACATAAAACATGAAACACCCCATCAATCAACAGATACAGCTCCAGGCACCAAAAATCGTGCCAGTTTTAATTAGGGGACTTAGTCTCCCAGAGTGTGAGCTACATTTTTGGAAAGACATAAAAATCTGTGGCAAGATCATCATTCTCTGGCAGACTCTTGTCCTTTCAGCTTTCCCAGGGCACTTGGTCATCACTGATAACTCACACAGAACCAATCACACATGTTGCTTAACCACACTTCACAACAATGCCAAGATGACCATCATGTGGTCCAAAGGATGGGTGTTCATCGTCACCCATCCTGCCTGCCAGAAGCTACCCAACCTGCAATGCCAGCAAGCAGGAGCTCGGATAAGAAACAGCACTGGCCTACGAGGCTTTGGCTTCTGACCCAAACAGCAACAAGATCTGCCTTAAACAATTAGGAAGCCAGAGAATGTGTGTGCTATACAGCAGACTCTGGAAGCCAGTACAGCATGGAGACTTCTAATACCTCAGAGCACCACCATCCCGTGGGCAGATGGGGGTAAAGCCCAAGTGGAACCCCTGGCTGTCCTGACAAGACAGACTCAAAAGAGAGAGATGGCTTAGTGGGTGAGGCCATGAAGGACAGAGGACCTATGGCTGACACTGAGCTGTATATGCCAGGAAGGACTCTAGTGTAGAAGAAAACATATGGAAGAAGGCAGGATGCTTCTCAGATCTACTCAGGCTGGAAACAATTTCTATCAGTCAGGAAGGGAAGGCCATGGCAGAATCCTTATAGTGGCTGTGCATCAGAAGCAGGTTAACACTGCTCTGGACAACCAAAGGCTTTGGTGAAGTCTTGAAAGTGTCCAAACAAAACCAGAAAAAAGGTAGGAGTGCACGTGAAATGTTTTACACACACACACACACACACACACACACACACACACACACACACACGTAATTTAAGTGCTTCAATGAGTCAGCTGTTCCAGACAACACACATTTCCATTACATACATAAGAAGTTTTACTCTGTGGGCTTACCTATAGAGATGACGATCATAAAGCTAAAATTAAAGAATGAAAAGTCAGTTATTTAAGTTATTTAGTTAAATAATTTGTTATGCTTCTAACAGTGACTATTACCAACATAAGAATGATGGCAGGGTGACAGAGCTGAACTTTTAGTTGCCAGAAAGCCAATCAGGAAGGTCAGAAGACAAAGGCCCACCCCACTGTGCCCAGTCTTGGTTGGGTTCTTCAGGTGTGTTATCTCTAAAAGGAAACTGAGGCACACAGGCATGAAGAAAGAAGGTGGCCCCTTTCATGCTGGCCCAATGATCACCACTCAGGCAGAAAAATGATTATGTCAAATGGCTCTGGTGTTTTCTGTCTCCAGAAAAACTCAAAAGTAATGTAGTTCATTGTTATGAATACATTTAACACTTGCTGGATATTCACACAACTACTGTCAGTTCTACTAAACTCTTTAGACATACTCTAAATTCCCACAAAGACTAAAAGCAGTAGCCCTGTCACTATCCACATTCCTCAGAAACAGGAAGTCCTGGTTCAGAGGACACAGGGGCTCCATTCTCTCAGCCTCTACACGGGGCTGCCGCCCTCCACACCCACACTTCCAACACTGAGCAAGAATTCCAGGCTCCACTTTAAAGCAATAAATACTAAAACTAACCAAATAGCTTCATCACAGTCACTATGATCTAAGGCAAACCATTATATAAAAAAAGGAAAATTGTAAGGAATCGAAAATATTTACAATATGAAACAATAAAACCATCTAATTCCTTAGGAATGTGGAGGAATTTTAATTCCTTGAAAATATCTTGGGTTTATACTTTTTCTCTTTTATGTCATAGAAGGTTTTAAGAATATTAAAATCCCAGAAAAATATACATGCTTTCTTCCCATCCCCCAAATGAGCAAAATTCAGTATTAAATTTCAGGAGAGTAGAGATTAGGGTCACAGGGGCAAAGTTATAAATAAAAGGTCTTTGTTTTATAGGTACCTAAACCTCCAGAAGGACATCCAATCCCGCAGCTGAGAACTCCTGTTAAGGCCCACAATGAGACACCAATACAGCCCTGAGACCCACTGATTATGATGCCACACAACAAGGTGGCTTCTGGCCCCAGAGAACAAGTCTAGCCCAGCTACCATTTCCAGATGACGCCTCCCCCGCCCCCAAGAGTAATGTTGGTGGAGAGAACCCATAGAGCCATCAAGTCCTAGATAAGCAAATCGTGTCCAGGTGAGAAGGGGTTCAGTGGGACCACACACACCTGCTGGTGGATCTGCTTCAGGCTTTGCACTGCCTTCTCACCCAGAGAGTCTGTGACAGGCCTGCAGAAGGGAAACAGCACTGAATTCAATAAGGACTACGCGGGAGCCCAGGTTCACAGTAAAGAAGACAGACTCAGAAAGACCAGCTTCTTATTCGTGCTCCCACAGTCCCTGAAGACTTCCCAGTTCTGCCTCATTACAGCTGTGCTGGGGACTGGAAAGATGGCTCAAAGGCACTTGCTGCTAAACCTGACAACCTGAGTTCAATCCCTGGGATGCACAAGGAAGAAGGAAAGAACTGATTCCCCTCAAGTTGTCGTCTGACTTCCACAAACTCATGACCACACATTTCTGTTTCTCCCTCTCTCAAATAAATAAATGTAGTTTCAATATTTTATTTTTCATATGTGTGAGTGGTTTTGCCAGCATGTATTGTGTACCGTGTGCATGAGTGATGCCCATGTAGTCCAGAAGGAGGTAGTGGGAGACCCTAGAACTGGCTGGAGTTACGAAGGTTTGTGAACCATCATTCAGGCGCTGGGAACTGAACCTGGGCCTTCTGCAAGTGTTTTTTTGTTTGTTTGTTTGTTTGTTTGTTTGTTTTACTACTGAACATGGTCTGCAGTCACTAAATTTAATTTTAAAAAAGAAAACAACAGACGGGCGTTGGTGGCGCACGCCTTTAATCCCAGCACTTGGGAGGCAGAGGCAGGTGGATCTATGTGAGTTTGAGACCAGCCTGGTCTCCAGAGCGAGTTCCAGGACAGGCTCCAGAGCCACAGAGAAACCCTGTCTCAAAAAAAAGGAAAGAAAGAAAGGAAGGAAGGAAGGAAGGAAGGAAGGAAGGAAGGAAAGTAAGATTGAGAGCAACCAGGGAAGGTAAGATACCTACTGTCAATCTCTGGCCTCCATACATACACACATGGACAAGTACATCTGTACACACACACACACACACACACACACACACACACACACACACACACACACACACACAATCTGTGTTGGTTTCAGCAGGTGGGCATCTAGGTGCCACTTTTATGCTCCAACCTATAGTCAGCTTGCAAGTACCCTACTGAACATCAGGCCCCTGCTGACACTGTGGAAGAGGTAAGTCCCCTACAGGGTTACATGGATTCCCACAGAAGCCTTCTGCTGTCCTTAGGAAAATATCTGCTGCAGCCAACGTAGCACTTAAAGACTCCAGCAGGGAGTTCTACCTTGCCTGACTCACAGGGTAACTCACTGAGCATGTGCTATAATGTAAATAAATCACAGTTCCTACTGAACATCTGCTCTCTTCTGAGGTAGGGCATGTGCCAGGCAGAGCTATGCAGTGTCAATTACCCAAGGAGCTACAATCTCCTGTGTTTTAGGCATAACTATGCACAGCCACAACACCCTGGGGATCTGATATCTACTACTTGCTAGGCAGAGCTATGTGGTAACTAACTCCAGCTCCCTGCTAGGCAGAGCCACACAGAGCCCAATGCCCTGGAGGTCTGAATTCTCTTACATGTTGAGCAGAACCATGTAGAGCCTAACACCCCGAGGCCATGTATAAACCCAAAAGCTTGGGAATGGCTCTCAAGTGTACCATATCATCACAGTGCACTGCTGAGAAATGTCATGGCCCATGTGCCTTTTACCATAACCAAGGAACAACCAAACCTCCTTGGGAGTGATAGGCAGGAATGAGGTCCACACACCTATCTGCTGTCTCCCCAACCCAGGGAGCCACCTAACTCAACAGGAAATGACTGAAGTACAAGTTTCAAGCCTGAACCTAAGGGGAGGTCAGAAAGGTTTTATTTTTGAGGAATCAACTGCATGGGGGCATAAGGAAATTACACAGCTCTTCGAATGCACCATCGTTGGTCTTAACTTCTCGCTTTGTAGTTCTAGTATAGATGCAGCCAATGGGGAGAAATTCTCAAGGGAAACTTCCACACCTACCTTTTCATTCTTTTTTGGGGGGGGGTTGATTTGTTTTGTTTTGTTTTTTCCAGACAGGGTCTATGTATATCTCTGCCTGTTCTGGAACTCATTCTGTAGATCAAGCTGGCTTCAAACTCAGATCTGCCTGCCTCTGCCTCCCAAGTGCCACCACTAAACAGCCTAACTCACCCTTTCAAGTAATTTAAATTATTAAAGTGATAAATGGGAACTGAGAAGATGAACTGTCAAGGAAATACCTTGTCAAACAACCTGAGTTGAGATCCTCAGAACCCAGGTAAAAGCCAGACACAGTGGTGCACTTGTATGTACACCCAGGAAGATGGACGATACAGACCAGAGAATCTTCTGAAGCTCACAGGGCAGCTAGCTTAGTGAGCAGCAGGACTGACACTGCCTTAAACAAAGGGGGACATGAGGAAGATGTCCAAGGTTTCCTCTGACCTACACATGCGTTCTGTGGCACACAGGTGCGCACATACACATGGACACACATTCACACACACACACACACACACACACACACACACACTGTGACAAATTAACTGCTCAGTGCCACCTCTGAACCAACAGGTGTCATTGCTCTTGTTGTCCGAGTCATAGCCTTGGGATCGTGATAGGAAACCAAACGGCAGAGGTAGCAAAGACACCTTATGAATGCCAACCACCGTCCTTCCCTGTGGTTAGGGTTACTGTCCTAACCACTGACCACCTCAACATAAAATGGAACCCTAAAAACACAAATGACCAACAGTCGCAGCTGACAAGCTGTTCTCAAACCCCAAAACACTACTGTTACCTAGCTTCCCAGATGGCATCTCCTACCTGTTTGTCTGTGAAGCCAGCTTGTATAAGGCATAGGTGACCTCTGCACAAGAAAGGATGGCACCGTGTCTTGTGTGTAGATCTGGACTCAGTGTCATCAACAACAATGTTGGGAATACTGCAGTAGTCAAGTTGAAGGACACACAAGGGACAACTCATTACTTACAAGTATTTCCTCTAGTGGTGGTCAGGGTCACCCCCACTGTTCCTCCTGAGCCACCAGGGCAATGTGCTAGGTCACAGCATATAAATCAGTACATGCATACAGGCCCCAGATGCCCAGTGAGGGACTGATGAGAAAGGCCATGTCTGCAGATTCCCCATCTGCACCTCTGATAGGCAGTGGCAGTACTCTGCCTGAGGAGAGTGAGAAGATCAAAGGCCACACAACCATAAAAGGTGACAGGCATTTCCACTCCTTATTCCTTCCCAGTGAGAGCCTCTGGTGTTTAGGGAGGCTCAAATAAGCCCCTGGAATACCCCAACATTTTTTAACCTATACAATGCAACCCACAGATTCCTTATTTTGTGGATGGCACCAGTGCCTGATGCCACCCAAAGCTGCCAATGGACAAACATGCTACATTTGTCTTCATAGTCTATCCCAATTAGGCTACGGACATAGGACATCATCTTCATCCGCTATGAGAACAGTACATCTTTCTGCTGTGTATGTGCACACATATGCACACCTACCATGGGTGGCTATGTACTCAGGATCTTGTGGGGTCAGGTTGTGCAGTGCCTTTGCAGACAGTTCTCGGATGGCCCTGAGAAGTAACAGTAGCTGTTAGTAGACCTCATATCAGCACTATTCACAGCAGCCTTAGGATGGACACACCCAAGGACCTATCAATAACGAATAGGTAAGCAAACTATGGTAGATACAGACAATGGAATATCACTCAACTAAAAGGAAAAGAATCCAGACACTTGCTATAACAACATGTCAATTTGTAATCAGTAGGTCAAAAACTGCCAAAGGGTTCTTTTGTAAGGCTCTAAGTTAAGGATAGTTTTTACATTTTTAAGGGTCATATAAAGAGAAAAAAATGCATATATATGAGACAGAGACCTAAGGAGTTAACTATCTGTCCCTTTAAAGAAAAAGCTGATAGCCCATGCACACAGATTCACTATAATGTTATACTTTAAGAAATCTATGAAACAGAGAAACATTCATAATGATAAATATATCAGGAAGATGAAAAATCAGAGGTATACATGCATCTAAAAAGAAAGCCCCACTCAAAACACAGGAAAGAACAAGTGACAATTAGAAAATCAATCAGAGATTTCAAAAGTTCAAAAGCTTAGTCTAACCCAGGGATTGCATATTTACAATGTGGTTTTGAATGTCTTGTTGGCTGGTACATAATCTCCTGAAGGAAAGGAGGGATTTCCTGGTAGTGGTCACAGCTAGTCAAGGGAACAACATGGAGGCTTGAACCAGAGGCTCCTCACTCCACAGAGTGCAAAGCAGACTGCACACAGCTACACAAGCATAGTGTCAGCCAACCTTGGGAAGCTGAAACAGTCCCCAGTGTCAGAGTGGGTCTTTCAACCACAAACACCCACTTGACATTGGGATTTGGAAGGGGCACCATGATTATACTACTAATTCCCCTAGCATTTGCCCTGTGTTGGCTGGCCAGGCCTACCTAGAGATAGTGGCAAAACATTGACAGTGCTTGTATCTAAGTTACACACTTGCCTTCCTTCTTTGAAGACACATTTAACTACCTATGAAATACCAAGATGGCCCCCAAGCTGCCACTGGAATTTTGACAACTACCACTAAAGCCTGCTCACCTCTTAGGTGGCAACATATAAGATACCTAGGGAGGCCAAGCAGAACAGAATCAGTATGGAGGCAGGTCAAACGACCAGGGGCACCAGGCTATTCCAGCTGCATGGACTGCCCTGTCCTCGGGCTATAGCTTCCCTATTACACAAGGGTATTCAGGTACAATTACATCTCAGAATTGCCTGACCAACAGCTCCAGAAGTGAAACAAGACAGACAGACAGACCACTAACAAGCATGCCACACATAGAGACTGGAATTTTCATTACTTCTCAGATATAATTATTTTAAAATAATTTGTCTATTTTATACACACATGAACTTATAAGCTCAATTAAACTTTTCCCATTGGGGGAAAGGGGGAATTTTCAGAGAGTCACAAAAAACAAAACTTACCCATCCCAATGGTTGATTTTCATGGAGACCAAGTGGTCAATCATCGGCTTGGTATATTCCTGGAAGCCAGCAATAAACACACTGAAAGGCAAAATATTAAAAGCCAGAGAAAGGGGAAAATATGAGCAGATACAATGGCACACATGTATAAAACTCTCTTAAGCCATTATTTTATGTATTAAAAAATAAGATTAAAAATAAAGAACATGGAGGAGCCAGAACGTTCATTATACTACTCTTGAGAATGGAAACGAAAACAATTATGTTCAAAAATAGTTTGACCATTCCTTCAAGAGTAAAAACTACCTACCAGATGACCCAAACATTCCCTGCATCGGCAGCTACTCAAGACAGGAGAGCGTCCATCCAGAAGCAATGCACACGGCTCAGCAGCGTGCCCAGAACTGTGACTGGGAGCAGCACCCCATGCACATGTGGCTGATGGAGAAGCAGATTGCTTATCCAGCCACATCACAGGCAGGACAAAGGAACGGGCTTCTTGTGTCAAGCCTGAGCCTTACTATGTACCCCTGGGGGGCACAAAACTTGGTATGTCGCCTAAGCTGGTCTCAAAATCAAAGATCAGCCTGCTTCCCAAGCACTGAGATTGAAGGCATGAACCATCAAACCTGGCTTGTTGTTGTTGTTGTTGCTTAAAGATCTATTACTATTCTATTTAATTTGGCTTTTTGAACTTATTTTTGGAATCACACACATGAGTACTGTATTTACATCATTTTCATCCCACCTTCTCCCCACAACTCCTCCTGCCCACCCTCTGAACTCCTTACAATCTCATGACCTCTTTAACTACTACTGGGTGGGTATGTTTATATCCTGCTGAGTTCATTTAATACACTTGGGGTTGGATAACCTGCTTTTGGGGGGGGGGTTGTCCCTGGAAAAGACTGACTCTCCCTCTGTTAGCAGCCATTGATTGCCTATAGCTCTTCATCTAGAGATGCAGCCTGAGATTTTCCCCATCTACACTGGAATGTGAACTGGTGTTGTCACTTCCCTGTCATATACAGGAGACATTACCTCATAGAAGATGTTCTGGTCCTCTGCCTCTCACAATCCTTCCTCCTCCTCTCCCGTGATGTCTCCTGAGCCTTAGGTGTATGTGCTGTGTTACAGATAAATCATGTGGATGTGTATTTTAATTCTCTGATGCAAAGACTAACATGGGAATTTGTGGAGATTTAACTTGGTATAGAACTGTGAATGTGAGCCGGGCATTGGTGGTGCACACATTTAATCCCAGCACTCGGGAGGCAGAGGCAGGCGGATCTCTGTGAGTTCGAGACCAGCCTGGTCTACAAGAGCTAGTTCCAGGACAGCCTCCAAAGCCACAGAGAAACCCTGTCTCGAAAACAAACAAACAAACTAACAAAAAAAAAAAAAAAAGAGAGAGAAAGAGAACTGTGGTTTTGGCCTCTCCATACCTTCCTGAGATTGGCAACAGTCAGTCTTACCATTTAGAGCATTTCATCTATGCTAATGACCTGTGTCAAACATATTGCCATGTGCTTACTGAATTTTAGTTTCTCTTTTTTAGTGATGTTCCTGAGCAAATGTAGGCTAGTTTTTTATTTGGATTTTATTTTCCTTATATTTTTTAGTGCAAACTGTTTGTCATCTGTGCCTTTTTTTTTCTGTAAATCACTTTTAATAGCCTTAAATATATGCAATTAACACGTTACATGCATACAAAGTATAAAGCTTGCTAAGTCTGACAGAGGAGGACAATTAAACTGCCAGATGGGTAACAAGGTTGTGAGCATACCTGCCATCCACCACCAAATTATTTTTCTGTTCTAGATTGCTTTTCACCTTTGCCTAATTTCTTTCCCTTAGCATGATTATTTTGCAATTCATTTTATGTCAAGAAGTTCAGAAGAGAGGGCTCAATGGCTAAGAACATTGCTGCTCTTGCAGAGGATCTGAGTCTGGTTCCCAATACCCATGTCAGAAGGCTCACAGCTGCCTGTAACTAACCACAGGAGCTCCAGCACCTTTTCTGGCCTCCTCAGGCCACACATGTGTGGTATGTGCTAACAGATTGTAATACATATACATGACTGAAAATAACAAAAGCAGTTCCTGTGCACCAGACCAGTCTGTTGAGTTTCCCTGACTCTTAGCCTACCCACACCCTATCTAACCTCTAGGCCTATCCTGCGTCAGACATCCTGTCCTCTGATCTAGTCTAGGTATCTATGAGTTTTTCAATCTGATGAACAAGGCCTAACTGCTGACCAACTGCTGATCACCCTGGCAGGCAAGCTGTACAGGACCAGAGCAGCAGGGACATCACAATACAGAGGCACCTACAACAGGGAATCGGTGTTCAGGGGAAGAACTCAAATGAGGAGAAGCACTCTGCAAGCAGTGCTAATGCACAGCACCAGCTCTCAGAGCCAGGCAGAACAGATCACAGAGAGAGAGAAAGTATAGGTTCCCTGGGTGGGTACTTGGCACTTGCTAAACTGTACAATAATGAGGGCATAAATTGGGTTACAAGTGATCTGATAAAAGTTACAAGGCTGAGGGTATAACTCACAGTGTGAAGGCTCACCTAGCAAGCTTGAGGGTATGGGTTCCATCCCAGCACCACTGGAAAATAACTCTTAGAAACAACAAGACAGGGCTTAAAAACATAATCTATAGGTGGGGTGGACCATTCTGATTAAATGAAAAAACTAGAACCATAAAAGAAGTTCAAGTAGGGGGCTGGAAAGATGGCTCAGTGGTTAAGAGCACTGGCTGCTCTTCCAGAGGACCCGTGTTCAATTCTCAGCACCCACATGGCAGCTCACAACCATCTGTAACTCCAGTTCCAGGGATCTGACACCCTCAAACCAATGCGCATAAAATAAAAAATTCAATAAATTATTTTAAAAAAATAAGTTGAAATATTAAAACACAAAACCTCTAAGGAAAATGCCTTCCAGGGAAAAAAGTCAAAGCAAACAAACACAGAAAAAAATATCTTCTATTGGTATCGCAGCCGACTTCCTTGAAATAATCAAATTCTTTCACTTAGTGAGGACATCAACCCATAAGAAAAATCATCAGAAGCATCAAGGGCAGTGCACACTCAGACTCCAGAAGCTAAGTTCAGCCCCATCAGACAGGAAATGAAAAAGAGAATTTAGTGCATCTTCCAAACAGAGGGTTTGCCACTGTCAGGAACTAGAAGAACATACTATGGCCAGGGCAGCCCCTGTATATAATGGCCACATGACCTAGGAATCTAAAATATAAAGTTCTTCTGACCTACAAATTACTTCTGGTTTTTGTTTGTCTACAGTGCTGGGCATGGGACTTAGGGCTTGCATATGCTAATATGCAAGCATACCCTAGACCACAACTTCACTTCTGATGATATTTTATGTGCAACACACAAGTAAAAAGTTGTATCAACCACACAGCATTTATAAAGATTGACTGGCCCTGAGGATCTGTCCAGACACAGACAGTCTGTGCTCCCACTCAGGAAACATATGCTAGCTGAACAGTGGACCAAAGATGTTCCTCACATAATTAGTCAACCTGCCCATAAGCAAATATAAATAGACTCTGAATAAACTTGTTCTGTTTTGTTTTCAAGGCAGGGTTTTTCTGTGTAGCTTTGGAGCCTGTCCTAGAACTCACTCTGTAGACCAGGTTGGCCTCGAACCCACAGAAGCCTGTCTGCATTTGCCTCCCAAGTGCTGGCATCAAAGGCGTGTGCTGACTCTCAGTAAACTTATGACAGAAACTCCTGAATGGGACCAGGAGACTGGGAGAAGACATAAGTGGCTTTCCCTAGGGGACTGACAGAAGTGGGGCCACACCACCAAGGACCCTGGCTGCAAAGTTCTATGGCATGTCCATTGCATGCACAATATCCAGGTTCACAACCAAGCCAGAAACCTAAAGCCTGCAGCAAGGCCAGGAAAGGGCAGGAATTCCAGAAAAGCATGAAAATAACTGGTGCCTTACAGAAGAAGGGAACAGAGAGAGGGGAGACCAGACCATCAGAGGCCAATCCCAGCTCGCCACCAACAAGTAGTGCCTTACAGACTTTGTCCCAAGGCAGCAATGAACCTGTATATAGCATGCAGGGTACTGGGAGGCCAAGTGACAACCAAGAGGATCCACCAGAAGGTAGGAGAGGGGAGACTAAGGCAAAGGCACAGGAAGGTAAAGGAGTGAGGTAACATGATCTAAGGAAGATGTCAGATGTCAGGGGGGCAGGACAAAGCATAAATGGGATCGGGGCCTGCCACATGGCAAGCAGCCAGGGATGGGAGGAGGGCCAGAAGGTGAGACAAGTTAGAAGCTCATGAGGGATGAGGAAAGGAACAGAAATGATGGTTTAGGCAGATGGAGCACTCTACCTTGAGGCCACCTTGCTTTGAGTGACTTAGAGAACATAAGCATATGAAATTCCTGGAAAACAAGCTACTAGAAAAAAAAAAAGTGACAATTGTGAAAATGGTGCTCAAGGCTGGAGATGTCAGGAAACTGACATCAGCAACAAAGACAAATAAGCAAGAGGCAATAGACAGATAGTTACTGGGGAAATGGCCAGGCAGAAAAATACCCTATTTGTGTCACAGGGTAAATCACATACACCAACGTTCCTCAACCAGTCATGGACAGACATGGGTATGTTCACAAGGACCGCCAGTGACAACCCATCCAGATTCCCATGAAGTTACATGGTAGACAAAGCTTTGTGGTCCATTCACATGAAGTCCAGAGATGCTAAGAGTTCAGGGCAGAGAAAGCAGGGTGAGGCTGGGGGCTCTTAGCCACTTCCCAGCAGTAGACACATTCTCCCTGAGGACCATGAAATTACTCTGTTTTCCAACTACTCACTTGTCCATGACTCATCTTACACATACATTATTTAAAACTATATTGTAACTGTATGTCATGAAACACATACAAAAAAAAGTTTCTTAAAAGGTTCTGACATGGAAGCCTGCAGGACACTGAAATAACCTATCAGTCTAGTTAAAAAATAAACAATACCATCAAACATTTGAGACAGAATATATAAAGGACCCTCAAATTCCCACCAGGCACATAGCAGGGGGCCATAGACTTCACTATGTCCTTCACTGTGTAAATGCTACAGACTTGTACACATCACAATATATCAAAAGACATACGCTGAACAAATGCAGCAACACTCAAAGGTGAGCACTATAACCTGATGGAGGATGTCCTTCTGTATGCTGTGAGTATATGTTTCTCTTACTGGTTGATGAGTAAATGATTATCAGCCAATAGCCAGGCAGGAAGTATAGGCTATCAGTCTAGGAGAATGCTGGGAAGAAAAGAGGCAGGGAAGCAGTCACCAGGAGAGAGAGACACCATGTAGCCACCAAAGGAGTAACATGCCAGAGCATTACAGGTAAGCCACAGCCTCGTGGAAATACACAGTTTAATAGAAAAGGGTTAATAATTAAGAGAGAGAGAGCCAATAAGAAGCCTTAGCCATCAGCCAAACAGTTTATAATTGGTATAAGCCTCTGTGGTTCCCTCCTCTCCAATGAATTTAGTTTGTGTCAAGTTGACATAAAATCCAGCACAGGGACCTCAAGACAAACTATGTTCCTACTTCACCCATTGCTTATTGAGGCCCCACAACACGCCTTCTATAAGCCTTCTACCTGCTACTACCAGATAAATCCTGTCTTCCAGAGTTCAGCTGGGGAAATGATACCCTGGTCTGAGGCCCTATGGAGCTAGGACGTGGTAAAGCCTGCTACTGGTATGTCCTCCTAAGACAGCAGCTGATCTACTGCTCAGACCTGAGCATCACACAGGCCCAATGTACTGGAGAAGAAACACACTAGGGCTAGGTCATGTTCTCAAGTATTTTTACTGAATGGACATAATAACATGTTAAATTTTAGACTGGTGTAGAAACCTTAGCAACAAGTAGAATTTGCCAAAGCCCAATTTAACTACCAGTTATTTTACCTAAGAAACTCCAAAAAAGGTTACAGAACCTCACATACAACATTCAAGCCCTAATAATCAGAGAACAAAGAACACATGGCCACAAGGCATGAAGCGCTGGGCTGAGGGGTAATGGCATGCAGGTGAGGGCAAGTTTGGTCACATTCTTCTTGGGAAAGAGATTGCTCACTTTTTGTTTTTAGTTGTTTATTTGTTTTTTTAAAGTCTGTCCAGGCTGGTTATGGAGAAGTGTAAATTCTGCATGGTCTGCACAGAAGGGCTGTTAAGGAAATCTACCCCCAGGGTATAACATAGTCAGGAACTTTTTAAAAAAAATGTACTTGGCATGTTTCTCCCAATTCACAGTAACTAAACCACCTCATAAAGCATACCCTTTTCACTTTAGTATTACAGTGTGAAACTACTCCCTGGTACTTAAGTTATAAAGTAAAAATAATTTGATGTGGTTTCTGAAAACAGCAGTTAAGGGTATAAATATTTATTTCTTGGCCTGATTTCTCAATTACCTTTTCTTATTGATCTGACAATCAGATAATTTCAACTTGGACAACCTTTTTTTTTTTTTTTTGAAACAGAAGATACACAGTCACTTCAAATCTACAATGTCATTTTGAAAGACTGATACATTTGTGACACCTGGTGAGAAAGCTGTCAAACAGAAGGACATACGCATAGCTGTGCTTGTGGCTATGCCCTGTATGCCACCAAGGCCTGCACAACAGTAGGATGACAACAAGGAGAAGACTGATGATCAAAGAAGATGGGATAGTTCAGTCACCATACTGAAGTGTGAGCAGGTGCCTGCCTTCTACGGCGTGTACCACAGAGCATAAAGATGGTAGGAGGACCGTGTCATAACTGTTCCCACTTCAGCTTCTCCTTTCTACAACATAAGTTATATTCACACCAGTAGACCACAGTATAATGAAGAAGGAAATGGCAGAAGCTGATGTTTGACACCCAAGACAAAGAGACTAAACTACAGTTATGTTACACACATTAAAACTTACCTTATAACCAGGAAACAGTTAGATATGTTACCAACTGCAAAATAGTCTGCTGTAGTCAAAATATCAATTCCATGAGGGAAGGTGCCCTGAAAAAAGTAAAAGTGAAGAAAAAAGAAAAGGTGGGAAGTGGCATCTGAAATCATTAGGCACATGCATGTCACAGGGCAGCCGAAGCTGAGCCACATGGCTCACGGAATGCCCAGCTGGTGTGTCAGTGTTCACCCTGCCCGGCCAGATGCTGTACTCAGTACAACTCATTCTGCAAACCCACTGTTTCAACTTCAAATGTTATGAAAGTCCTTTCTTTAAAAAGACACTGGGTCTCAACAGCGCTGACATGGCTACTCTTGGAGCGTGGTTCCCCTTTCTGGTCACAAAGACAACAGCATAGCCCTCAATTCCAAAGCCTGCTGAAGCAGGAAGGCCAGTGGAAGGCAGGCAAGCCCCTGCCTGGCTTAGAAACCTGGACTGGGGCCCACACCTCACCAGCTTCATAAGGATAAATGAGGCTGAGGGGAACAACCACTCTCAGGGCCAATAGCCAGCCTCTCAGAGCATCGAGGAAAGAAGCCATTGGTCCCCTGAACTCAAAAACAAGAAGCAGGCCCCTCTATTCTCACCCACCAAGTGGAGCCTCAGCCCTAGAAATCATCACAGTATTGGTATTCTCTAATATTATCACTTGTGGAGAAAAATTACAATCTAGAAACTATATAACTTTATTTTACAAACATAAATGTAGAAAGTCTTACAGCTATTTGCCCAGTGGTGGCTCCATCCCAGTAGCACATGGGGTTTCCTACCTGTGCACAAAGCTGGCACAAGTCTAACAAGCAAAAGCCAAGAAAAGCGACAGGCACCCACTACCTGCACCTGCGGGCCACATCTCACACAGGGAGGAATCTGCTCACACACAAGGTGCTGCCCTCTTCACAGCCAGCTCAAAACAGATCAGAGGCATATCTACAGCATATGCATGTGTGTGACCAGATCCAAAGAAACTGACAACATATAAAAAATTTACAATTTAAGTCTGAATTTCCACATGGAATTCAGGCTATTTATTACCATGGAGACAATGTCAAAAACGGAAGTTTAGTCCTCAAGCTACATATAAATTCCAGTTAGTCTGAGGACATGGTGGGATGCATCACCCATCTGGAATCCAGAAGAGTTAAAAACCCAGGCTTAAGCACAACACCTGAGGTCTGCCAGCCTGGCCTCTGCACTTAGGGATACCTCGGGCACAGACTGAGAGGAAAAGCCACTATTACCAGCCAGGGCTGGAAAACATAGCCAGCCTCCACACAGCCCACCTTCATTATCGCCCTCAATGCCTTCACCTTTCACAAGCTAATCCTGGAGCCTAATCATTAAAATCTCACAACTTCACAAACACTACCCAGAAAGCAGCCCTCCTGAGAACACTAGAAAGGCTGCCCCAACCCTCTGCCTGGAGGAGGAGGATGAGCTGAGGTATCTTGTGACCCAGCAAGTCATCCAGGGTTGAGCTGGAGTATGGTGACTGGAGTGTGGCTCACGGTTCTGCCACCCTGAACACTTTGGATGCTCTTATCATATTCCTGCTTGATGGTGTAGGAAATGTAAATGTCTTTTCTAGCAGAGTTAAAGGAAGACAGAGGAAATTCCATGTTTAAAGAAATTGGTAAAGACACCATTTAGCTAGAATCCCTCCAGACTAGTATATTGGTAAAGTCAAGATATATGTTCAAATTTCATTCTCCCTAGCAACATGCTAGTCCATTTTGATTTGCCAATCAAGTAACATGAGACAAAGCTGTAACCACTCAGTCTGTGAGGCACAGAACCCGTTGCTTTGGGGCTAAAATCAGAGCAGGACCCCTACTAGGAGTGCTTGCTTGCTGGATTAAGAGTGGCTTTGCAGTGGGTGGTGGTAGCCCACACCTTTAATCCCAAAATATGGAGGCAGAGGCAGGTGGGTTTGAGGCGAGCCTGGTCTACAGAGAGAGTTCCAGGACAGCCAGGGCTACACAAAGAAACCCTGTCTCAAAAAACAAAACAAAATGGGGGGGGGGGTTGTTTTGCACCTTTCTGCAGAAGTTAAAACTTTTTACTTTAATAAAATGCTTTGGATTATGTGATTATTTATCAAGGAGACCCCCAGACTCATATGTAACAATGAGAGAGTACCCCATAGCGCAGGCAAAGGTACCACTGCAGCCTGATTTACAAGAAGACAACAGCATATGACTGGGCAGGCAAGTAGCACTCAGATTTGGCTGTGACCAAGGAGGATGGGCAGGTCTAAACTGTGTTCAGCAGTATTCAAATCACTCCAAAACAGAATAAGCAATAGGCTAAGGCTCTGCCTGGCCAGGTGGCTGTCCTCTCCTCCCCAGAAAATGGCCTCAGCACCCTGTACCCCAGATTTCTCACTTGAATACATGGTAGTATGAAGTCTGGGGAAACCACCTGCACAGAGCTGTGACCCAGTAACACTCAAAGCAGCCTCATGCTGGTCCTAGACATGGCAACTGCCCATTGGATAATCCTAACCTGCAAAGATCCTGCAGGGCTACAGGAAGGGAGCGCGCGCGTGCGCGCGCGCGCACACACACACACACACACACACACACACACACACAGAGAGAGAGAG